TTGGGAATCGGGACGTGAGCAAGCCCGCGACGTATTACACTGAGAAGAGATAAGTGCTAGACCCCGTCTTCTCAATCTAATACGCTAAGCGTCAAGAAATACAAACGAAGGCACAGGTCCCCGATCACAGTAATGAGAATATAATAAACAACTCAGAACCAAAGGTTACATATCACAACTGAAATGATCATCCAGACATAATATTCGGGCCAAACATGCCCTTATACAAACTATCTGAATGAAATACTGGAGAATATAAAATACAATGATCAGGCGGAAAAGGAAATGCTACGAAAATAAACTAAAAGGAATAACTGAGCTTCAACTCTTCTTCTGCTTCGTCTACAAGACACTCCTACTGAGAATACTCGGCTTTGGCGCATCTCCAAGATGAACATGTTCTTCTTCTAAGTTTGACGTACACCAGAGAAAATAGGTGTATGTCAGGTGCATGGCGCACGACAAGATCTCAAAAGGAAGAATAGAACGGTTTTGCGACCAATGCGATAATGGTAATAACAATGGAAACATACAACTGAAATACTAATATTCTGAATATAATTTACTACTAGAATAGAATAATCATAATAAATCCCAGGAAATCAACCAAGTAACAAGTCGATCATGCAGCTAGTGATCAGAATAATCATCCAAGTACAGAGTTATACACTAGATGGAATTAATACTTAAAAATCTACAACAAGAGACGTAGTACGTCGAGCGAAATAATCCAAACAAGGAAACCCTCATGTATATACCATATGTCTCGAATTGTAAATAATTAAATATCAATCCCGATCTATGTATGAAAAGAACAACACTGGTCTACATCTCAACAAAACTAACAAAGTCTACCATAAAGCACGCAAGCATATTATTCTTGTTTTACATGTTATTTGAATTGGGGAAGAATATTTTGATGTATATAATTGGGTCCCCGTAAACCTATCCGGGGGCCGCCTTCAAGTCAAGTATTAGCCCTCTGGCCCATGTATATAACACTCACGATATCACGATAACAAGAAAGCGCTGTGCCCGTTTATATACATGCTATATTCTCCGTCCAATTCCCCTTTATAACCCCATGTTATCAAATTAATTAAGCAAACTGTACATGAAATATTATGCACTAGCCACGGAGTTACCGTGGAACGACTTCTGTAAAACTATGAAAATAACCGTGACCCTTTTTTTTCTAAAATAAATTCTTTTCTCATTATAATAATTCTAAAAGTAATCTTTTAAATAATAAAATTCATAAATTCAAAAACAAGATAAATTCTCATTAATTCAAAATATTCTATTTTCCCAAATAATTTCTTTTTAAAAATATTTATCATTCCCAAATAATTTCTTTTTTTTAAAAATATTCATCATTCTAAAATGATTTCTTCCACAAGATAATTTCTAAAATTATTATAATTATTCCAAAATAATTCTTTTTCCAAGATAATTCCTTTTAAATTATTATAATTTTCCTAAAATGATTTTGTTCTCAAATAAATTCTTTTTAATTAACATAATTATCCAAAAATGATTCCGTTTCCGAAATAAATTCTTTTAATCTATTATAATTATTCTGAAAATACTATTTATCACCTAATTACAATTTAGTTAATATTATTCATCAAATCCTCACAGATAATTAGATCATAAATTAACATAAACAGATAATTCCCAATATCATTCAACAAGTCCACGCAGATAATTATTAACAGATCTAAAATTGCTGATAATTCATAATAAATAGGAAAATATAGATCTGAGCAAGCGGGATCTTGCATATAAATAATCTACGTCAAATATAAGAATAGGAACGAAACTAAATGAGGATCGGGATCTTACCTTGGGTATATCGTGGACCGTAGAGGGGGTCGTCGGGTGGTTCACAGCGTTACGACGGGTTTCGCGGAATCGACGGCTAAAATAACAATTAGAGTGTTAATACGACGTGCGATATTCGAACGAGTATAACGAGGTGTAGATAGGGAGCCCAAGTGAAAGAAATATACCGTATGATAGACAACACGAAGGGCTACGCATCGGCGAAGGAATCGACGGGGACGGAGGTCGGAGTTGGCCGGAAAACGCGCGCGAAGTCAGCTCCGAACTGCAGTTTTCTGCAGTGAGCTCACCGATTCGGCTCGTCTAGCTTCACTATTCGGAGCTGCCGGGGAGGAGCTCGGCAGTGCTTGGTGAAGGGCAGCGACGAAGCTCAGGCCTGGGGGTTCGTCGGGGTGGTCGATGACAGCGAGCTCGGGTGGAGGAGGTGCTGGAGTTGGGTTGGCGGACGCGGGGAGAGGAAGAGGAGGCAGCGTCGCTGGTTGAGGAAGAGGAGGTGACTGTAGGGGATGGTGACGATGGTGGGAGAGGCAGAGAAGGAGGGAGGGAGAGCTCGTGGTGGTTGTCGGAGATGGAGGTGGAGCGGATGGTCGACGACGAGGTTGGCGGAGTTGGGGAGAAGGTCCGGTCGGAGCTTGGTGGTGGAGGTTGAGCTGGGACGGCGGTCAAGGCAGCAGACGGAGCTAGGGAGAGGGGACAGCGGGCGGTGGGTGAGTTCGAGGCAGCGGAGGCGGTGGTTCTGAGGTCGAGCGGCGATGGTTAGGAGCACGGCGTCGAGCTGGAGGGGAGGGCGGAGATCGAGGAGGAGCAGGGGCTTGGCGTGGTGAAGGTTTGCTGACGGGGGCGACTGGCGGCTGGCGGGGGCTCTGCGGCGTCGGTCGGAGGCCGGAGCGGGGGTCTGAGGTCGCTGGCGGCGGTGCGGGTGGCTTCCGTGAACGAGAGAGAAGGAGAGAGGAAGAAGAGGGGAGTTGGTTTTCGTGGGGGTTTTCTTGGGTTTTAAAAGAGGAGAGAGAGGGTGAGGAAGAGATGATGAGCTGGAGAGAGATGGAGAGAGAAAATGAGAGAGAGAGAGAGAGAGAGAGAGTTTGCTTTTTCTTGGGGAATGGGAGAGCAGAGTGAGAGATTGGTTGAGTGTGAGATAGAGAAAAAGATAGATTGAGAGCGATTGGAGAGAGAGTAAAAACGGCGGAAGGAATTAATGAGGGAGACAGTGCGTGATGGGGTGGTTAGGAGGACGTGGGTTGAGGGCTGGGGGAAAACACGAGGCAGAGGGATTTGCGTGAATTGGGGAGAGATACAGAGTGAACACCGGTGGGAGGAAAAACACAGAAAAAAATACCCCTTAAATAATTTAAAAAATATCATAAAATTTATTCAAAATAAATATTAAAATTTATGGTCAAAATAATAATAACAATAACAATAACAATGCTGAAAAATTAACTATTTATTTAAAATTTCACCAAAACAATTAAATTTATAATTAGTAAAAATATCAAATAACATAATACCGTATTTTTAAATCGTAGAAAATTCTAGAGAAATTGGGAAAAATATAAATACTCTTTTAGAAAAATAATATTTAATATTTAAATACCAGAAAATTATTTAAACCTGTATTAGAAATTTACGGTCATTACACACATAATTATTTAAGTTAACATTTAAGATTTCTCCATAGTATGAAACCTGAAATAACAAAGCTTACATTACACCAACCCTAATTTTAATAACAGTTTAATGATTACTTACATTTCAGTTAGGGCTTTCTGCATATTTTCAAAAGTAGAACCCTCTATGTCAACATTAGCTTGCGTATGAATCTCCATACAACCAAAAATTCAATTATGCTCCACCATCCACTTCAAATCGTCTTCATTCTCAATCAAAAAACTCAGATTCAGATGCCTCTCAGATTTATACGTCAATGGTAAAGTATGCTGAAGAACTTTTAGTCTTTCAAACACATCAAATTTTAGTTAAAAAAAGCTTATTTTAGAACTTATTTTTGAGAATTCAGCTTTCTCACCTATGAACACCATGCAAATGAGGTCATTGGCGGCCATAAAGGGTTGTTGAAAGTTATGAGGACAATTATGAGAGGTAATTGAGGGAATTTTTAGGACATAAGAGATTGTTGAAAGTTAAAGAAGAAAACCCTAATACCATAAATAATATATATATATAAGAGTAAAACAATAAAATAAATAACATATGATGATATAGAGAAGTAATGGAGGGAAGTTGGCCCTGTTTCCCTCCATTTTAGCCATTACTTCCCATTAATTGCGATCAGACAAAAAACCCCAGAGATGGGTTTCCTTGAGAAGAGGGTATTTTCGGAAGAGGAGATCAAATACAACATATAGATGTATACTAATGGGCTTTTGGGGTTAGGCCATATTTTATTAGGTCTTTTAGGACTAAACAACACGGGGGAAAGTCTATGGGACGGGGCCACTCGAGGTTTTTTATTTTGAGGTCTTGATACAAATTTTCCTATAGATGAACACTAGTGTGCACCTCTGCAAAACACGACCCTCTATTTTTTTAAGCACTGTATTTTAAACTTGCCACCCTCTAAGTTTTAATACATTTAATTTAATTATTTTTTGCTTAAAATTTAAAATCATATCTACTTCTCTACACTTAAATAATGATCCAAGTTTTAATATATTTGATTTAGAAATCATATTTACTCTTCTATACTTAAAGAAGGATCCAAGTTTTATTACATTTTATATGCTTTATTGTTTATAATACAGTACATACTATAGCATGAATAATAAATTCAAGTATGGAGGAGCAGATTTGATTTACTATTTATGCGACAGTAAAAATACAGTAGTATGAACAATAACTTCGGGTGCAGACGACCAGATTTGATGTAATGCTTATGTTACAGTATTTACTATAGGACTTCGGGTGTAGAGAACCAAATTTAATGTAATGCTTATGCTACAATATATACTGTAGTAATTTCGAGTGATTTGATATAATGCTCATGCGACAGTATTTACTATAGTATAAACAATAATTTTTTAGATTCTGTTTCAAATATAGAAGATAGAGCAGCAGATAGCTTTTGTTCGGATGCGTTTCCAGACCTATCTGGTAGCAAGACACGTGCAAAAACACATAAGCGGAGGGTCTGATATGCAAAACCCTCTCATGAACCCTTTGTTCGCCGAAACGTTCCCCTTTCAAATTCCTCCCTTTCTCCCCCTCCTCTTGGATCGCAAGCCCCTCCGTCGCCACGCGGTATGCTCCTTCTATCTCAAAACCACCATTATTATTATTATTATTATTATTATTATTATTATTAACTACTAACTGTCTATTAATCTATAGATAAATCTTCACCAAACCCTAGCTTTCTTATGATTCCTCCATGTATTTCACTGGAAAAGAAATGTTGTTCCTTGAATTGCATTTGATTCGATTTTTTCATGAATCTTATCTTATTCTCACGATTTATTAGTAACATTCTGTTACTGAATTGACGGCCCAAGATTTGGTTTAGAAATGCTTTAAAATATTATATCTTGAGGATTAATGCTTTTCCCTATCGACCCGAAACACAAAATAATCTCGTTGCTAAGCATTTTCTTTATGGTTTAGCTTTTTGATCTCAGTATTTTACAAACCATTTTTGGTGATTTCTTAACTAATATAGGACTGGGCTCGAACACGCTTCCTACTTGATTTAGGGTAGTTGATGCCAGTGAATGTAATTTTTTAATGTATTCTTTGGGGAGGCTCTAGATGCTCGATACCCCGGCCACAAGTGTCTCTTAGTTGTCTGACTGTAAGTATGTTTATTTTTTACACCATTTGTTTAGATTAGTTGATTTATGTAATAGTAATTCTTTGGTCAAAATTGTGGGTGAATAAGAAAGTTAAAGAATATACATGATGTAACATGGTCTAATGAATGCGACTCTTTTCAAACTTCTTTTCACCTGTCCGTCGCAAAATGTGGGATGCTGATGTGTCCACACTTTTGAAATTGGAAGGTGTAAGACAAAGGAGTGACTGTAGTATGTCCCACAAGTTGATGAAGAGTTTTAAGATTTGTTTTCGAGGGTGAAATAGAAGGTGGTACCTTCTGTAGCATGGATGAAGTCGTATGAAGGTATTGGAAATGGCTTGTTGTCAATACATGACAATGCATATTTTTTCCTGATGCAAATCCACTGACAAAGAATTTTTTTCAAGATGAATGCAAGTAGATTAGGCATGCCTTGACGAGTTTGGTTGTAAACTCATAATGTTATGTAGTTTATATGAATTTATTCTTTATGTGGCAAGGAATAGTTTGTTATACTGTGGTAGCAATGAAGAAGATGTAAAGACATCATTCTAACTATAAACCTTGTTTTTTTTCACATAATTATAATTATATAATGGAATGGAAGAATAGAATTCATGTAGCCGACCCCAAATATTTGGGATAAAGGCTTTATTGTTGATGTTGTGTATTTGGATTTAAATATTCCATTTTACGAGTAGATTCTTTTCCTTAGTGTTGTGCTTTTTCTATAATTTAATTTCATATCTACCATTTTCAGATATGCACACAGTCAAGCAAGTTAAATCTGGTTGCTTATAAATTATAAGGTAGCAGAGACTCTTATCCGTTTAATACTACTCAAACTTCTTTCATTAGTAGTTAGATTGCTTCTGAAGAACCTTCTTCATTTGCCTTCAGTCTGAGCAGTTGGAAGAAGATGAGGTCTATTGCTGTTTTAAGAGGTATCCGTGGTATAGCATCATCTGCAAAGAGCTCTGTTTTAGCACCTCAATGTCGATATTTCAATGGTGAGTCTGTTGCCACTGACCCTCAGTCAAAGCCTAAGAGATACAAGTACCCAGATGTCTATGATCCTTATGGACCGAGACCTCCGCCATCTGATAAAATTGTGCAGCTAGCCGATCGTATTGCTGCACTCCCTCCTGAAGAGATTAAACAGATTGGGCCCACACTCCAATATAAATTGAAGCATCCAAAGTTGCAGCAAATATCTTCAGGAGGTTTCAGTTTAGGTTCTCAAAGTGGAGATGCTGCTGCTGCGAAGCCAGAGGAGAAGAAAGCAGAGAAGACGGCATTTGATGTCAAACTAGAGAAGTTTGATGCTGCTGCAAAAATCAAGGTGATCAAGGAGGTCAGAACATTCACCAATCTCGGGTTGAAAGAGGCTAAGGATTTAGTGGAGAAGGTTCCAGTTTTGTTGAAGCAAGGGGTCACCAAGGAGGAGGCCAATGATATCATAGAGAAGATAAAAGCAGTTGGCGGTGTTGCTGTGATGGAGTAAAAAGGTTAGGTTGGACCTTATTTTTTGCCATCTCTGCTTCCTTTTTGTTGATTTTTCCAGGTTTTTGGATGAAACTTATAATTACATTTCGTGTCATCTTAATTGACTCTTCATATTGTTGTTATGTCTTTGATCAACTACTTGTTTTTGTACTGTGAGAAATCCATTGCATCGCAGTTTTACTGCTAACCAATGTGAAATGGCTTATGAACCTTATAGGAGAAATAATAATAAGCAAACTTTACTTGTCCCATCATTATTGAGCTTCATCCTTATTTTTCTTATAAGCTGAACATTTTAAAAATGTTCCTATCCTTTCACGAAGTATTTAACTTTTTACCTCTAACTTTGATGTGAATTGAAGTATTCTTCAAATAGAGAGTACACATCGTCCTTACAAAAGACTTCGTTGGGGTAACATGCAATATAAATCGGTGGTTCTGCTAGTGTTTGGTATATCAAGTTTTGCATTGATATTCTAGATGTCTATTCTTGAATTGAACAACTTCTTCGTTGTTGAAAAAAGTCAAGTCTCATTTAACACCAATTCGTATCTTAATGATGCGGAAACCATACTGACTTACTTTACACTGATTAACAAATAATTTATTGCCAAGAATTGGAGTAGCTTGTCTGGTTAATTGACCAAAATAAAGATCTTGAATTCCATTAACCATAGTCATCTTTTCAGGAGTGCGATGCTTCTTTTATTTGTATAGTCCACTGCACCATGCAACCATAGGTATTCTGATTAATTTTGAACCTAAAATATTTGATATTAAATTCTTCATAAGCTGGTCAGTCATAATAAATTGTAGAATTTGAATTTGAAACTTCACTTTGCCTGATGCAGGTAGAAACCTATATGTTAGGCAGTTTAGATTTTAAAAGACTCTTATCTCTCAATGTGACTTGATATGTATATTTAAAGGACATTGTATTAGCTGTAGTTGACATTCATGAAAACACCTGGATGTGATCATTTTAGGAAACAGTTTTAATCCTAACAGAATAATCAAACAAAAATAACTTTAGCATTAATTTTTGGAATTGTAGTACAAAACAAATGATAAAACCAGTAGTATATATAATTTGAATTGATATAATTTAGGGGCATAAGGTAAAGCTCTGAGCCTGAAGTTGAATATTTACTAGGTATTGATCAAATTTCTAGGTTATGAGGTTGAGTTTTATTACCGTCTGAACCATATCATATGTATAATCCAAATCTGTGCCTTTGAAACTCTTACCTAAAAGCTGCTTTGTGATTGCAACTGTCATTAACCATGCTAGCTTCCATAAGCGCCAGTTACTCTAGGGGTGAAAAGTATTGACAAATAAAGAGCAGTGAGGATATTTTTTTATCAATTAAATTGTAGAGGCGAAAGTGTAAATTTACCCTCCTTTTATTATATTTACTAAATTTTCTACTTTGCTTTACCCTTTGAGTTTTGATACTTCTTTCTAAGTGCATATGAAAGTCAAATCCAGACTGATGATACTGTCTGAATTGGAAATCTGAAGTTTAGTGTGGAGCCAAACATGGGACCATAACTGAGCTTTTTGAACCTTGATATTAGGATTAGGCCTCAGGCATGAAAATCTCATTTGCAAGGGATTTCAGTTTCCAATCTTCTCTTATCTCAAGATGAATAAAGCTCTAGTAAGTTTTTGAGGATTAGTAGTAACGGAACTTAATATTGATGAATTTTATAGTCTGATCATTAGGTTAAGGTCTTACATATTTGATGGATTATAACTACTTCCTTTGTGGATTAAATCTCTCCATCTGCATAGATGTGGACCTTCGAATAAATATGAAGTATGCACCAACTTAAACTGATCATGCCATGATTGGAGTCCGTGACTATGAAGGCTGTTTTTCTCATCTGCATAAGAGACTCATTGTCATCTATGTTTCACAAGATTTCTTTTTTCCTTTTGTGAAGGCCTCTTCTGGTAGTAGGACTTGTTTATCTCTGTATATAGTATTCTGGTGCACACGATGCGTGCATACCATGTAATCTGGGGGAGTGTGGTAGGCAAATTGTCCAGATAACATACAGTTTATAATTTTTTTTAATTATTTTCCAACTTTGAAAGAATTTCCCTTGGTTGTTCAGGAGTGAGGGCATTTCTACTGATTTTCAATTGTGAAGGTGTTTCCTTTTGTCCAAATGTGAGGGCATACTCGAAATTCTACAAATGAAGCTCACACAAACAAAAGGGTACTTCTAAAATTCTACAAATGAAGCTCACACAAACAAAAGGGTACTTCTAATTGTGTGGATGAGTTTCCGTGATGCTAGCCTGATGAGTGTTTCTCCAAAAACTCGACATATTTTAGTGACCTATTTTTCTCAAGAACATTAAATGAGCTTATAGTTAAATTCATAAAAAAATGTTTGTGGCAATAATATAGCTTAGGCAACATTGTCAGACTTAAAAATCCAAGTAACAGAGAAGACATCACATTAATTGGCCTTTCTTGTTTTATTATCACTTTGGATTCATAGTTGAATTCGTAACTGTTCGTGCATAATTACAACTGTATATTGCCATTACTCATACCAGTTATTAGTCACTGTTTTTAAGTTGGGTCAGTTGGTCCATATCTTGTAGCTGTACAGCCTGTACTGTGTATATTTACTTTACCTGCACTTAAAATTCAATGCTTTCCACAACCTAGGTTTGCGTACTTTGGCACGTGGCATCCATTATGATATTCGTCTTGCCCATGTTACATAAACTTTTCTGTGGTATGATTGGAGATGTAAATAGGCATGGCTCATATTTCTAGAGTAAACTTCTCTGTGGTAGGATTGGAGATGTAAACAGGCATAGCTCATATTTCTAGAGAAAGATCAAGTTTCTTTGTTCAATTCATTTGTGTCAGTGAGAGCTAAAAGTCAAATTACTGTTGTGAAGCATTGATGTACAAGTTATCTTTCATCCCAGAGCAGATTTTTGTGAGGGACAAACATGGATATGGGATGCATCATACATGTAGGGATACATGTTCTATACAGTACAGACATGGTTGTATGACAATTTCCAAGAGCTAGGACCCTAGGACACATTTATACGCCAAAAAATGCATGCATACCCATGTAAACACACGTGCATGCAAGATCCACAAATGGGTGTGTTATGGATACAGTATAATAAACTTTTATCTGTATGTGTTAGCCTTTCATTAGCTTGCCATAAATCTGTAAGAGTGCAATGGAATATTAAGAAAGATGTTGAGAAATATAGTTTCAAGGCATATAAATCAATAATTTATGTTAATCGTCATATTCCGTAATGAGAAATTCGATAAATTATATAGATGTTACGACACATATGGAACAGATATGGTTGAGAATTCATCATTCAAATATCCAGCTTCAAAGCTTTGGGTCTCAGATATGGTAATGACATGCAACTTTCCCATATATCTGGAGCATTTCTGCTGCATAGGTCAATTTAGACTTTCTCCATGGACATAATTGTCTTTTATTTTTTTTCCTATATACTTTCTCAAAGGTGTATAAGCATATTGGATGGATGCATAGATCAAACTTTATTGTTCAAAAATAGACGTGTCTTTTGAAGTGGAGATCCTTCCGATACTCCATAACAAGATTGCCTTCTGGATTGCTCATCTTTGCGATTTGCACCCGACTTGCTCAGCTGCCAAATTTTCTGCCCTGTGTATCAAGTTATTGATATATTGTCTGTGGGCATATCTATAACGGGCTTTTGCTTGAATTCGCTTGAGTTGCGCCTGCTTTAGAGTTAATGTTAAAAGTGTAAGAGAAGTTTTTACTTGGTGGTTCATAACCCAACTATTTAGAAATTGAAATGATTTGACATGACCATATAGATAAGGCCTTATATCTCATGGATATAAAACTAAATCAAAAAAGAAACGCACTGTAGCCATCGACATATAGATAATATATGAAACTAGTAAAGATACCTGATCTAGCTGTGACCTTTCCTGTTTCCTTTGGACATCTATGTTTTCTTCGGGAACCATTTTCCTGTGAGAAACTTGCTTAGTAAAGGACTGTTTGAGGTATGATTTGAAATATTCACTATGGTGTTCGCATAGTATGTCCTCTTTAGCACGAATTATATTACCTATTTGGTGGTACATATGCGGGTGAAGAAATCCCTTCCATCGAGGACCGAGACATGTTTGGATCTGTGAGGTTCCAGGAAGCAGAGACATGAAGTCACAAATGCAATTATGAAAACACGGGCAAAGTTAAATTTTGTTGGACTGCAGGAAGTCATCTCTGATACTTTTGGTTTGATGACCATGTAGTTTGGGTATTTAAATAGTCTGTTTCCGGACTTTGATTTTGTTGGAATTTCTCTGAATTTCCATGTACATCAATGCACTTTAATTAGCTGCAGAAGTAGCGGAGGTGGAGAAATTAATGCAAATACCATTCGATTGCTCATGGTTTCGCTGATTATCAATCTCCTTGTTGGCTATGCTTTCCTGCTGAGTCCGATAACCCTATGATTGTTTTGTTCTCCTGATAAATACAGAAAGTACACGTCAGTAGTTACTTGCAAACTAGTGGAGTCTCATTGTGAACTAGACTACTTCTAGTAGCGTATTGGTGTTGTTCTCTTGTGGCCTATTGAAAGCCTAGTTCGGCTTGTTTGCCATGGTGATATAAAACATGTATTCTGCAATAAAAACGAATTATAATAGAGCTGTCAAGGGAATGAACGACGCATACTTGACCATGAATTGGCACATAACGCGGAGGAATGCTGAAGTTGAGTTGTGAAGGGAATCGGTGGTTTATTAGATCTTTTTATTTTTATTTTTTCCCCCAAGCACAAGGGCTTTCTCGTATGTTTTCCCCACTTCAAGTGTTGGGGTATTTCCGTATTTCTTTTCCAAACTTGAGGGCATTTATGACAGACCAAAGACGTGGCTCATTTGCCGAAGGGGGAGTTTCCCTGTTTGTTTCGCAAAAAAATACAGGAAGTGGGGGAAAGTGGGGGAAAAGAAAATATTTTTTGACGTTTTCCTCCACTTTCAGAGGTTTGGTTCGTCAAAGCTATAAAAGAAAGTGGGGGAAAGTATGAGCTGTCACTATATTATTGGTTGATGTGAGTAATTTTTGATGTTTTCCTCCACTTTCCTTGTTTAGATTTTTTTCTTGTGTTTGGTTCATTCTTAAAAGTTGGGGAAAAAAGATAAGATGATATGAGATGAGATGAGTTGTCACCATATTATTGGATGAT